GGGATATCTAACCATCCTTAAAATTTGAAAAAAAATATATATATATTGCTAATGAGGCCTTCTGAGGTAATACGGAAAGCGTGCAATACCTTTATTTCTGCCTACACAGGGGTTGAGAAGGTTCCACAGAGACAAACAGGAAGGGAGATGTCAACAAGAAGGACAGTGGGAAAGAAAGAGACAGGGACAGTAAATTGCAGGATGAGAGTTATTGTGCACACATACACATTCAGGACAAATTCACATGTACTTTAGGATAATATGAGCATGCACACTGCAGTATCTCACTTGATTTTTCTTAGAATTCATTGTACTACAGAATTAATACCCATTTTATTGCTTCTCCATCCATATCACTAGAATTAAGGTGGAAAAAAGCATGTTAGTGTTTCTTAAACAGAGTTTGGCACTATTTCGTATTTCTGGTCTGGAAGACAGGCATATGTTGATTCATATATTCAGCTGTATCTTATTCTGTGTCCGGTTCAAAGGCTTTCACGTCAGGACATGAGCGCTTGAATGAAGGAAATATAATGGATTCACGTCTACATGGCTGTCCATCTCCACTAAAAACCCACTGTAGGCATGCACCCAAGAGAGCTGTACATTTCTGTGCCTTTCTGCTTTTTCTGTTAAAGAATGGAATACTATTCCGACAACTATAAGAGATCTAGATACATATGAATTATTTAGGGTTCAATTAAAGAAATGGTTAATTAGTACTCAGCTTTGTCAACATTTTAATTCTATATGTGCTGGCTGTCCTAATATTGTTTGTATTTGTTTCTATTGCTCTTAATTGATTGTATTGCTAGATTGTATTTATTTATTTATTGTGCAATGTATTTGTTTTTTATATGTTCTATTTCTCTTGATTGTTTTTATTACCAGATTGTTTTATGGATTGTGTTATATATTTGTTATATTCTTTCAGTATGTATTCGTATTTAGTGTTACATTTGTTACAGGGTCTTTTCAGGGTTACATTTTTTGCATTATTCTGCCCAGAGACTACAGATGAAAAATAGCCCTTGGCTTATTCTGGTATATTTACAGAAATGTTGTATTAATGTACAACGTCCCTGTTAACTAAACATAATATATAGATTATATCAACATATTAAGATGTGATGTCTAATTTTCATGCTTAATTAATTTAAATAGTTCATTTAAATATCTATATGTTTTATAATAGGTTGTCTATAATAAAACATATAGATATGTTAATTATATAGATATTGTTCTCAAATATAATACGTAGATATTGTTTAATTAATTAACTAAATTTAATTACCAAAAACATAATATTTAGCTGTGCACCAAATTCTGCATGTAACCCTGCTACCACATTAATTTGCATTCGGCCACATGCTTAAAATCATGACATAAAAAGCAAATTTTTTCAGAAGGCCTTTATTAACACCCCGGAGCCGTGTGGAGTAGTTTTATGATGGATGGATGCAGTTTTTTAGGCTTCAAAAACAGGGGCACCATTCACTGCCATTATACAGCTTGGAAGAGCCAGGACAATTTTAAATATAACTGCGATTGTGTTTGTCTGAAAGACGAATGTCAGATACGCCTAGGATGCCCTGAGGGTGAGTAAATCATAGGCTAATTTTCATTTTTGGGTGAACTATCCCTTTAATTTGGGTTATATTTGTTACCCTGTTATTTGCAAACCTGTTAACCTTTTCTTTTTTTCTCCACTACTGACACATGCTCAGTTGGGGTTTAAAAGACACTTAATATTCAATAATATTATCAATTTGACTGCACTGGATGGGAACGAAACTGAGCTGGATAATGAAGATGGTCTCGTTATTGTATTTGTTCCATAATTGAAAAACTTTGCAACATTAGTACTTTTGTTTTCTTTTTTCATTACTGTCTTGTTTATTACTCTAAAAACAATCTGTATTGTATGAAACGCTATACAAATAAATGTGACTTTAGTGTATTAATTCAATTAGCTTTTTTGTTGAATTTGTATTTTGTTTATTGCTAAAATATAACAAAATCACAAATCATGGTTTTGTATTTGAACATTAATTTTAGTAAGATTGTAAAATATTTTCATATATTTCTGAACTTCATTTCACTATTTAAAAGATTAAATATGTTTTTATTTTGTCAGACCCTATTCTGAACCCTCTTAGTGTAGATTACCAGCGCATAAACTCAATGCACCGATAAAATTGTACAGATATTAGAAACGTTGGCAGATGCCCAGAATTCAGGACAAACCCATCATGGCAGATCATTCATACAGCACACACCTACAAAGCAAAACCTGTTTAAAAGGAATAATTCTATTAACATGCACTTTTGTTTCCTTTCAGCATCACTCATTCAGAGAAGAGCTGTTCTGTTTAGCTCAGGGATATATTATTTATAACCGCATAGTAATTCTTCCAGTCTATGAATGATATCTAAGTAATATGGAGGTTGATCATCACAGATTGGTGATCATTCTTTATGGGTCAGTTGGCACTGCAGCAGTCTAACAGATGAGAGAGAATGTAACTCGCTATGACATCACGGGGAGAGTCAACCTTGAGAAAACAGACCTGACAGTTCACCGCAGTATCACAAAAAGAAATTACATAATTCAGCAAGAGGACAATAATCATACAGTGTCACGAGGGCAGAGCCAATCATAAAGCATGATTCTGTGCAGGGAGCCACATGCACATGCAAGAGCAGTCACAACAACAATGTAAACACATTGGAAAATGTACACTGAGAGAACTGAGCATACCTTGCGGAGACTTCACCATATGCGCGAACCCTTGGGAAAAAAAGAACACGAGAGCAAAAGACAGAGAAAGAGAGAAAACTTGAGAACACCAATACCAATACTGTTCAGGTATTCAGGTATTGTGACCACTCATGGTTTGCTGACAGACAAACCATGGCTATCACACTAAAGCAGAAGCTTTCTGCAATAAAAAAGCTTCTCATTCAGAAAAGAGATTGATAACATTTATATCTCCCTAATCCAGGACAAATGTGCCAACATTAATTAGGGCTGTCAATTAATTCAATATGACTATGTACAGTATATATTAAAAAGTGTCTTTTTTTTTTTTACAATGTCTATTTAATGATTTACTTGCCTGTGACAACATGTCTTTGAATTATATTTATTGGTGGCTTAAACTGTTTTCTATTTCAATATATTTACTTATTCAGATACATACATATTAATTATTTTTCAAATATAATTTATTCCTGTGATGGGGAAGCTGGATTTTTAGCAACAATTACCCCACATTTAAGTCACATGATCCTTCAGAAATAATTATAATATGATGATATGGAGCTCAAGAAACATTTCTGATTATTATTAATGTAAATAATAATAATAATAATAAAAAGTTTTGCTGCATCATATTTGTGTAGAAACTGATATATTTCCAGTATTCTATTGAATTTTTTTTGTAACAATGTAAAAGGATTCTGTAACTTCTGATCATTTTAATGCATCCCTGCTGAAAAAAAAGTATTGCAAATTATTTGTGATTATTTGTTTTTAATTTGATGAATTAATCAGCATATAATGTAATAAATTAGATGATTTTTATAAGACTGACAGCTCAAATAGTAATACATTACTGTAATATGAGCAGGAATATGTCATCTGACACTTTCACACATACAGCCTTTGTCAGAAATGTATACATTTACGCTTATATTCCAGTATTTTGCCAGCTTTGAGGGTTTCCCAACTTTGTCACTAAGTTCTGAATGAGCACAACTGAACGCAATTGCTCAGTGGCATTTACTTCTATCGTGACATGGGACTCGAAATTGTCACACGTATCTTAATTTAGGAAACAAAAATTCAGCAAACTTGTGCATTAAGCTCCAAATATCTTGTGCGCTCCCATTTTTTTTTTAGTAGAGGAATAGGGGTATTAATGATTATTAATAGATGACTGGATGAATTTTTTTTAATATTCTGATGGATTTCTAAAGTGCATGATGTAGCTTGTGCTACACGTAATTACCTCTACGACACAGAGCCTTGGCTTGTAAAAATGGAACGAGCTCAACTTAATGAGGTGTGGGAGCAGTTCACTACAAACAAGGATTATGTTCACTGCCAGCACTGTGATAATGTGCTTAAATACAACATGACAACAAGCACTATGATCCTCTGTCAGGAGAATTACAAGCTAGGAGAAAATGAGCGATGTAATGGTATGTTACACAACATGAAAGTTTTAATTTAGTGTAATTTAAAGATCATAGTAAAATATAATAATATAAAATCCATTGGTGATTTTTTGTTGTTGTTAGTAATACATTTTAACATATTTCTGTCAGGACCACTATCGTCAAAATGATAGATACTCAGCATAAAGTTTGGTTTGGCGGTATGGTTCTGTTCTGGGCAAAAACCTCCCTGCCCATCCATGCAGCCTGTCATGAATGGGCAGGGAGAGCAGCAATAATAACCCCCCTAGGGTTAACAGAACAGAACAAGGCAGATATCATTAATGTACTTAATGATATTTAAGTGTAACACTTTATTCAAGATAAAGGAGTCTGATTAGCAAGGAATATCAGAAAACCAAGTCCTGACTGTGGCGAAAGGAGGAGCTGGGGATGGAGGAGGGTAATTTGCTCCAGAGCAAGCTGAAAAGCTGCTGAATAATACTGAATAGAGCTTATATAGGAATGCCGCGATAGGTGTCGTATTCCTATAGGTAGATGTGACCTGCCAGAACTAACGCTAACGCTTAATTTATTACATTAATGTAATAAACCATAGACTTTAAAAAAGATGGACGACGCATCTGAACTTAGAAAAGTGAAGCCAAAACATTCTCAGTATGGCCGCTGTCATCTTTTCGAAAATTACGTAATTTGGAGCCAGAGTCTGTGCAGTAGTGATCGTGAGGTGGAGCCACAGTATCAAAGTCCCGCCCAAACTCCCGCAGACCCAATCGCAAGCTCACAATCATGTCACCACACCCGTTTTATAGCATCAAATAACAAATTAAAAGTCAACTTATTAGAAAAACGAAGGTTCTCAGTCTCAGGTTCCATTACAATACATACAGTCAGCTGGGGGCGATCAAGATGCTTTGGCTTAACTTTTCAGGACTTGTGCTGCACGCTTGATTGAAACAGCTTACTGAAAATATCTTAGTAGAGAAAACTCACATTTAAATGCTTAACCATATGCTTATTTGGACTGTGATTTAAAAATGGGGTATGTGCACAAGGTATTTGGAGTCTTGTTTTATGCAATTATATGGCTTCGTGTGTAAAAGTGACTATTAAGTGAATAGAACATTATTTTAATTCTCTTTATCTTAGCTTTATTTGAATGTAAACCATATGTGATGAGTTTTCACAGCCTAAGACTCACTTACCAGGGGTTTTGTTCACAGCTTTTGAGAAGATGGCATAAAGGGGAAGACAGAGAAAGTTCAACTGTTAGACACACTTTTGACTTTGCATGGAGGCTGGTCATGCAAACATTTCATTTCCAGCTTTAAACAGACTGGTTGCTCATGCAAGGGATCAAGACTGTCCCTGTGCATGGCCGTAAAAAAATAAATAATAATAAATCAATAAACAAAAAAACCTGTGGAAAAAAAGGTCTATAGAATCTGTTCCATTTTCTGAGAGGAACAGATAGACATTATTACTTCAAATCACTCCATCACATCGAGAATATTGCTGTAGTGTCCAGAATGCCACAGCGTTCCTCACATACTCTGGATGAGGCCATAAATCCAAGCAGGTTACTAAGCCAGCTGTCCGATGTGGACCATCTGGATTTACGAGGTTGTGAGGTTTGTGGATTTCTGAACACAGAGAATTACTCTCACTGAAGACTCGTGCGTATAGCTAACCAAGTGAATCACCCACAGCTGTTTTTGTTTCTGAATAAACCTGTTTAAATGAATGCACACTGATTGCAAGAGGAGAACAGCACAGTTCAACCAAATAACCACATACTGTAAAAAGCCTTAAACCAGCCCTTTAAGATTGTGAAGCTTACATCACCTGAAAAATCTCTCTATTCAGTTCAATTTGACCAACCAGTTTAAATAAAATAATAAACTTCAATCTCAAGGCTAATCTCAAGGAGCCTGGCATATCTGAAAAGCTGCAGATAAAAGCTAAGCATGCTAATGGACTGAGAAACTTTAGACTAAAATCATCTATACACGTGGGATTTTTATTTATTTTTTCAGAATTGTTTGATACATTTATGAATTTTGTAAACACAGAGGCTTTTGACAAGTTTGTTTCCTGGGAATAAAACCCACAACCTACCAAATGACTTTGTATATTTTATGCATTTGGCAGGTTTTGTCTAATGGTTTTTAAATACTTTATCCAAAATGCATCGCATTCAATGTATACATTTTTTTATGAGTTCTGTGGTAACATTCCATGGGAATTTAGCCTATGAATTTGTTGTTACGAGCAGCATTTTCTACCAGTTGAGCTAAATATTGCATATCATATAGACAAGATAGTATAAACAAATTTTAACTAACATGTCTGTCCCTGTTTTATCAGAGGCAATTCATCACAAGGGCGAATAATTGGCCATTGTTGAGCATGTCACACTAAGCAATCAAAGACTGGTAGTTTTGCCATATGAGATTAGAAATATTTTACCTTCCTTACTGGCTGGAAAATTACCACCTTTATTTTCTTAAAGCCAAGCAAAATCAGACATCTCTATCCGAGAGTTAGAGTCTGTCTCTTTTTTTTTGTCTCTTTCCTGTCATCCTTTCAGGATTGGAACCAGAGGATGATCAGTTTATTTATTCAGTAATGCCTGGTCTGCCTGGCTTATTACATTTACAAAAGGCTTTTAAGGCACACTTGTAAGGCTTTTAGGATTCGCTGGGTTTCTTAGCTTACAGCACTTTTGGTCAATTCAATTGACAGAGACAGTCTGATGATTCATGTCAAAGTTTAATTGTAAAGTTGAATCGACCAGCATTGCTGGTCATCAGGATATGCTGTGTTCAGGATGCTGGGTGCTGGTGTCCCCACCAAACTTCCTTGATCACCCAGCTTTCCCAGAAAGATAATGCTGACTGACCAGCATTGTTTGCAGGTGAACAACAATGGCTATACTTGTTCTTGAGGTAGTCCAGCGCCAAACAAGCACTGATCAGACTGGACCAGTACGGAAACAGAGCACAACTTTTAAGCTCAGGTTCATTCAAAAAATCTGCATAATCTTCTCTTTGGAGAAACTTTCTTAGAGATTCCTTGCAAACTTGAAATGTTAACATATAAACCTTTCAAAACTCAGAGACTGTTAAGAAATGGTATCTATAGCTTGATTTCAGCTTAATTCTTTGTGATGAACTACATTGCACATAATCCTGAAGAGAGATCCACAAGTTATTATGGGTAGATAAATCGCACCAAACACTTTCCATATACACTTTTAAAGTCAGCATGAAATGAAAATATGTCAATGGTTCATACCTGAATAAGATTTTTTTTTGGACCTTAAGTTAATCATAATATCGTAACTTGATCTTCTAGTAAAACTTTCTCTGGTGATGTATACTGGATTTCTCCTATCATTTAGTCTGCTTCAACACCAAGGAACCCATGACTTTTCAGTGTTGAAAAGTCCAAGTACAAGACCATATTTTCATGGTCCTGGTCTTGCCATGGAGCATTTGGACTATGCCTTGGACTCAGAGTTGGTCTGTTATGTATCTGGACTAGAGCACACTTTTTTAGAGCACACAAACCAGGCTTCATTCACCCCACAGAAAAACATATTTACAGTCTGAATCATTTAACCCTCCTCAGGTCTCTGTCTTAACACACACTTAACCCTCTTCTGGTCTCAGTTTTGACTTGGACTGGTCTCGGCATTGAATCAGCTGACCTCGACTACAATACTGCCTCCTTTGTCAACAAAATGGCTGCCTGTAAAAACAATATCCGTGCCTCCACAAAACAAACACAGAACAGAGCAGAAGCGGATTTCCAGACCAACCCGATCTCATGAAAGTGCGTATAAATAGTACGGCAAATAAAAACGAAAACCCGTGGTATTAATATGCAAAAATGGACTTTGACGTGTATATGCTACGCGATGGGTAGGTTTAGGGTTGTGGGGTAGATGCGTATCATATGTACGCGAAAACTGCGTATCATATGTACGCCAACAAATTTCGTATCATATGCATGTGAAAACTGCATATTATATACACGCCAAACACATCATCATATGCACGCCAAAGTCCATGTTTGCGTATCAATACCACAAGTTTTCGTTTTTATTTGGCGTATTATTTATACGCATTTTCATGAGACCGGGCACTTCCAGACAGTGTCACTTTGACTGGTTACTTGAAGCATTGGGAGAGAGAGAAAGAGGGTTTATCGCCTTCATGTGACCAGATCCCTCTTGATGACATGCTGCTCAGCTTTAATCCTTTGCTCTATTTTTCGTCCCCAAACTCAAATCCCAACATTTGCCTGCGTTGTGTCAAGAGACAAATGCCAACTGCGCCTGAATCAGGTTGCAAGTCCTTTCGCCCCTTTTTTTTATTGACCTACTTTTGTAGTAAGATTATAGTAACTGTCATATTTCCATGTATATTTATTAATCCTCACAGCTAAGCCCACAGCGATTGTTTTGACATTTTTTTCACATGCTGTTGAGCATTAATTGCTTTTTATCTTGTAAAAGGCTAGGTTAAAAACGTGTAGCTTTCAAGTGAAGAAAATAAAGTGCAGCTAATCACAGGAAAATTTTTCTTTTTCACTGAGTCTCTTAATAATTAAAGCATCATTGAGTGAGTACTTCTTTATAATGCAGTTGTTTTGCCAATAAACTAACAGAGATTAAACAGACAGAAGCTAAATGGATGTGTTTAAAATGTGACAAGCACAGGACCATCTCAGGATTTTCTGATGTTTTGTAGCTGGAATTACAATAAAGTGTGTGTGTCTTGTGTGCGTTATCTGGTTGCTGTGATCTCAATAACTAAACGATGTGGCACAGTTTGCCAATGGTACACTCTGATCCACATCGTCAGGGCAGACAGAACATGTTTTACGGCTAAACGCATATTGTTTTAATCTGCCTGTAGTTTAAGGCAGATTTCCACATGATAATACTGACGGTTGTGCTCCTGCTGGGGTGGTGTGGCCTGTCTAGAGCTTTCATTCACACTGAAGTATGCAGTCTGCTTTCCTGAGCCATCTGCATGCTCTGAGGGCCTTTGCAAGCCTGTTGCCGTGTCTGTTTGCACTTAAAACAATAGCAGGTTGGATAGATTACCAAGGGCAAACATTAAACAATTTCTGAGCTCACATTTGTTACTTTGGTACATACTGTGCTGTTAAATTGCACCAACACTAAAAGATGAATTCAGTAAACAGTTAGGCAGACCACTGGATCTGGAGTGAGTCCAGTTTCAATCTGCAATCCAGTTTAGTCAGTCACTAAATGTGCTGAATTTAGCATTGCATCATGATTATCTAAGGCATTAGTATTTTTTTATTTGTTTGTACAAACATGCCTTAATCTGTGTCTTCAACTTTGGGCACTTTTTTCTCCCACTCTTCTTTTTTCATTATTTCTGAAACTCCACCACAATGCCATTTCCACTTTGTCTCAAAACATGCAACCTGTAATTTAATGACAATTGTAGAAATTACATTTTTGATCAAATGGCTGCCTCGTTTGTCTTCACTGATCTTAATGTCTCCTTATTAAACAAGTATATTTTATCAGAGGCAAAATTATAATATAATGTAACAAAAAGAAAAAAAAGTTAAAGGGGTCCTATTATGCTTTTTCACTTTTTCAACTTTAGTTAGTCTGTAATGTTGCTGTTTGAGCATAAAAAAGATCTGCAAAGTTACAAAGCTCAAAGTCCACTTCAAAAGGAGATATTTTATTTAACAGAAATCACTTTTCATAACTACAACGAACGACTAGTTTGTTCTACAATGGCTATTTTCCGGGATTTGTGATATCACAAATATCGACGAATGGGACGAGACCTGGTTGAGCTGCACTAGAGAAGGCAACGAGTGTTATCACTATGTAGGAGACACGCTAGCTTTCCCAAGGCAGACGAACTTAGAGTGGTTACAATCATCCAAGTTTAAATCGCGCTCAAATTGATTTGATATTAACGCAATATTTACACTGAAGCTCGCAGGCGGCTATGGTAAGGGGCATGACATTTCCCAACCAGGCGCCGAGTGCTGCCAATCACCACACACACTGGCCCAGCTGACCAATCACAGCACATTTCGTATTTCAGGAGGCGGGCCTTCATTTGATACAGGAACTATTCGAGCCGTTCATGCCAGACTGGGGAGAGAAGTGTTGTAATAATGTAAAATATGTGAAAAATAATGTGTTTTTCGAACAACCTAGTATGAGAGTCTGTTCTAGTACACCCCCAAAACAAAATCAAGACTTTGTAAAAGAGCATAATAGGACCCCTTTAAAATCCAACTTTTAATAAAAATGAACCCCTGGGACATAAAAGTGTCTGCAGTTAAAGGAACACCCTTCAATGTAAATAAGACTCATTTCATATTTGTTAATTTACTATTACTGCCATTAAAACGTCATTTCATTTCAATTCATTTTTAGTGAATTCCCCGTAATTGAGTAAACGCAGCCTTGCTGTGAGCTGCTAAGAGCATGTAAGTCCAAGTTTAAGCCCATCATTTGCCCCCATCACCCACCAGCGAATTAGCCATTTCTCTTTCGTTCCGCCCCTAATTAAAAAACGCTCCCACAGCTCAGTGGTGCAATCCGTTATCAGACACGTCCATTAATCTGTAGACAACGACTAAGGCCTGATGAAGCCAAGACAAGCCTTGACAGCCCTGACAGCCACGCCTGCGGTCAAAGCGCAGGACAGGCTGAGCAAAACCCCTGCTCTGAGATTAGAGGTAGACTAGCTTCTCATTTATCACATCAGTTTTCCTTTGAGCAGCTGCTGACTGGTTCCTCATTAAGGGCACTTTTTTAGGCCTACTGGTTGCCAGAAGGCCAGAGACGCAGAAACATCCTTCACCAGCCCTCCAGCCCTGAACACCCCTACTGATCCAAAGGTGATCTGATCATACAGCCTGATGTCCTGTCGCTACTGAGGACTATCATTTAATCTTTATAAAGGAGCACTGAGGCGCAGGGCTGGTGTGTTCAGTCTAAAGGGCTTGGGTTTGATCACGAAATGCAATACGTTTGGGCATTGAGGTTTGGGTCTACTGATTCCCTGCCTGACTGGATGCCTTTATATTCGTGCCCTGAATAAATTGAGATGCTAGTGGAATTATAGACTATACAGAAGGCACAACATGAAAAGAGTAATCTCTCATAACCACAGCACCAAAGTCTCTTGGCAATTCAGTGTGCATTCAGAAAGTATAATCAGTTTTGAGACTTATTTTAATACCTGCTGGTGAGTCTACAGTGAGAGTAATCCCAAATAGGTCTTAACACTGAAGTACAGTTGAAAAAAGAAACTTGACCGTTTAGAAACAAGACATTTTCTCTTCTCAGATAGTAGAAATAAAATCTCAGTTCAAAAGGTTCAATTCTTGAAATTGTGGTGTACCTTCCATTGTCTGTAACATGTGCAGGATCTGGATATTTGATGGAAAAAAGTATAATTTAACCTATAACAATTACTATATAAAACAACAAACCAAGATGGATGTGCCTGCAATAGGTTTAAAGTGAAAACAATATCTGTAACATGTCAAGGTAATCATTGCTGACATAAACTGTCACTCAATCAGTGATACATTGAGCAAAATAATTACTGATAATCAAAACAACATTATGATTAAATGTCTTACAGATCGACACCTTAAATAGCATTAGTGGCCCTAAAGATTATTTGGACACTTAAACCATGCTTTAAAATGTATGAATGTAATTGCATTAGACCAACTGGCATCTTCATTGTTAACCATTTTTGCAAATGCAGCAAGTTGGTATTGCAGGGATTTTTATTGTTAGTTCTCTTCAAGTGGTCAAATTGGTATCCTAGTAACTTTTGTATTTATTTGTCTGTTTCACTTGAAAGTGTATGTACTGTATGCTATATTTATTTAAAATAAATACCATTTGTTTTATTTATGTAATGAATTCACACATTTTGTTAAGGATGACACAGTGTCTAAATACTTTTTTTGGGGGCCACTGCAAATCATCAATAATTGAAAAAAGTTACGCTTAGCATGCTTGTGTACAATCAGTAATGTTGCCTACAGTTTCAATGTGATAATTTCAATAATGAATGAGATGAATTATGCTAAAATGCACTGTGAAGTGTAATTTAACTGCACGTGTATGTTATGACTTGTTTTTCAGTAAAAATATCAAGATAAATTTACTTTAATAAACTTACCATGAATGTATAACAGGAAAGTAAATAGGGTCAATTTTGATTTTATGTTGATGCATTTTTTTTTTTATTAATAGATTACTACACCAAACTACTGGCAAGACATATGCTCAAAATCAAGTGGAAAGATTCTTACCTTCATTGCAGTAACGACCTACATATCCTGTTTTGGAGCAGTCACAGTAAGCTTCACCGTCAGCCATTCTGCAACTGCCTCCATTTTCACAGGGGTTCTCCGTACACAAGCCTTCCATCTCTAACCGGACATTTTGGCTCCCCAGGCGTGTTGGAACCTGATTCCCGTAGCCCAGGTCTGTAATAATCCCCTTGAATGGTGGCATCTCCTTAGCCGCTGGTAGTGTTAGGGCAGCTGTCCGAATGTCTTGAGGCACTCCTCCAAGATACAGGTCACTGACAATCTTCATGAACTGCCTTTGTGGTCTCACCTCGTCCACCTTTGACTCTCCATCCAGCGCCAACACGGTTTGCAAGTTGTGCCTGCTGATGGTGGCAAAGTGCCAGCGACTGTCATTTACCATCTTGTCGGAGGTTATAGTGGTTTCTGCACAGTCCACGCTAAAACGCAACTTCAGCTTGCCTTCCTCAATACTCAGGAGCAGGAAGTCACAATATCCTCCATCGTCAAAGTAGAGAACCAGTGCATCTGATATAGCTGTTTTAAACTGAAAGCTGAGGTCACTTCTGGTGCTGGCATCCCAGCGAAGATAGCGCGCCCACTGACCCTCTGAACCTGTGAACTCCAGGCCCAAACCAAGACTCAGGAAGGTGCTGAATAGTAATAGTATACAATGGGGCCGGCAAATGGGAGGCATGGTAACCAGTGGTTATGCTACAAGAGTGCAATGAACAAACTAAAACTCCTCAGTTATATTTTCTGGCAAATGATAAGGAGGTCACTGAAGAAACATCAAATCCTTTAGATGATAACCATATGAATGAAGAAGGTGAGGCCATTGAGGTTCTTGACACATGCTATCCTAAATCCTGTTTAACGGTACTGGGATGAATTCCAAAAAAACAAACAGCCTTGATATTAGAAGTGGACAACTGGTCTGCTTCTGCTATCTAGATGGGCTTTACTGATGATGTTCCCTTGAGTCGACTTTCTGGATTAAAACAGAGATGCTCCATATTGCTTCTGATTCTATTATATCGCTGCATGTTAATGGCCACATTGGTCCTTCTTTTGCCTGATCTGTTAAGATAAAGAAAAAATGACATACATGTTCATTAGGTTCATTTCACATTACATACACAGACAAATATACTATATACAGTGGGCAATTTTGTGTTCCCTTACACTTATGTTTCCTTAGACCAACTCAAATGTTTTCAAACAGTTCAAAGAGGGTGCCACATTTGAAAGGAAACAAATGCATTTGTCAGGGTTTGATTTAATATATCCACCCAATCATTTACAGTATCACAGATTTTTATTTAATCATTAACTTTAATTAAATATGATTCATTTATTCAACTGACCATTTTTGAAAAATTATAAAGAATGTAATATTGTTTTGTGAAAACCTTGTGTTCAGGGACTATAAATAAACCTTTTCGAAGGGTTATAACTTACTTCTCCTGAAAAATATTTCAGCTGCCCAACATGGCGATTTCTGTCTATTAACATTATTACCTATTTGTCTGACCGATGGCAAATGTGGAAATTGGAAAACCATTTTAATTTAATTATTTTTGGAATTATGTTTGATGCCACTAGTGGCCTAAAAATACACACTTTACCTTTACAAGCCTTTGTTGTTATATCAATGTGTTGAAAAGATATTTTTGCGCAGGCCAACAGTAAAGTCTTTTACTCCAAAATAAAGTTTGCACAAAAATAAAGCATACACAACTATTGCATATTCAAAACTGCATTTGAATTTTGGCAAGTACAAGTAGTCACAAAAGCCACTGTCAAATGTTTGCTGTTTACGACACCTAAGTATTTACAACACACGCGGTCAGTTGACAGATGTCTGACAGAGAGATACTGTACGTGTGTGTAGAATTCCATCCCTCGCTGCCCTGGCTGTTGCTTTGGCATAGAGCCCCCAGAGACAAAAACCTCCCCAATCGTAGCTGTTCCACAGCGGTGCAACACAATAGCCCCTTTAACTACCTGCCCTGAATAGTTAATCTCTCCCTGACAGCCAGCTATTGAATTAAGGCAACTGATACCAACACCGATGAGTGGAGCGTCTCTTGAGCGATAGCAGGTCTTGTCTGTGTTTCAATAAAAAACGGGTGCTCCGCAAGATTTGAGAAGAAAGGTGAAAAGGGTGAGCCGAGCAGAAAGCAGTGCATGTCACACTAATAGGCAAGGCATCATAGAGGACGGGTTTTCAGAAAGACTTCCTGTTCAGTCTGCTATACTGGAAACAGGCTGGCCTGAAACCCAATCCTCACACACGGCACATGACAACTGGTCATTGGTCTGGCAGCAATCACATGGAGGACTTATTACAAACATAATACAGACTATCGGGTTACAAATGATATAGATCCGACCAGAACTCTTCAGAGGCAGTAGTCTATGAGGATTCTTGTTCAAAAGACATTTGGACAGTGCTGTTTTGGACATAAGCATAATACATCCCATTTAATAAGCAAAAACGAAGAACTAAGACTAGCGATGAGGAATTAGCCTCTGAAGTATGTGTTCTGCTGCCATATGCTCTGTAATCCATTGAAAAAAGCCTGTCCTTCACTCAAACAGAATAAATGTTGCATTTGGTTCCCAAAAGGCAAAAGAGCATGAAAAGCTTACACATAACTATAAGAGGAAAAGTCTTCCATCTGCCTTGAATGATTTACAGTCATTTCCAGTGTGTTTTATTCTCTGTGAGCAAGGCCAAGATGCTGGGTACAGGAAACAATAAATATATATGCTGATTATGTCTCCATATGCGCTTTCTTCAATGTCGTGTCAATCTCTGCTGGGTTTCTCCTGCAAATGTCTCTCAAATTCTCAATATCGGAATTTATTTTATCGAAAAGGCAATTTGACATCAAGTCAACCAATACCTCCTGACATGCATTCACAAAGAACAAAAAACAAGCAAGCCAGAGTAACCTGCAGTGAAATAATAATGTGCAGCGGCATGGGCGTTGTGGAATAGAAATTATTCATCACACACTGTTTCAAATGGGATTCCCAATTAAATGAATAGTTTAAACCAAAAATGATTCTGTCATCATTTACTCACCCTCATGTATTTCAAAACCTGATTTGCGTTTGTTCTGTGGAACACCAAAGCAGTTATTTATAGCAGAATGTTGAAGCTGGTAATTTTCATACACTTAAAAAAGGCTGCACAACTTCAGAAAAATTGTAATATAGTGCACAGGTCTTATGGGCTACTTGTAACTATGCTTTTTTTCTCTCTTCTTTTTATAGCTTGACAGGCCCTCTCTCCATCCAGCTCTTCAAGAGGGCAGCTCAGACATTCTAACAAACATCTCCTTTGGTGTTCCATAAGAGAGAGAAAAAAAAGTCACACACCTCAACCCTTAAATGGTTTCTGTATTCAAAAGGGAACAAACACACACACAAATACAGCCATATGAGAAGACGGAAAGAGGGATATATTATATATATATATATATATATATATATATATATTTACAGAGAGAGAGAGAGCATTTTCAGGTCAAATGATGGTATAAAAACCCACCATCTTTATCTAAAAGTAACAAAGTAATATTATCGGACGGCTGCTGACCTTGAGGTATATATGTTCAGATCTTTTACATGTCATTTATATGGGAGATACAAACTGTAAAACTGAAAATATCAGCAATATTTTGGAGTAAACAAAATTGTATCATTGTTACTTTAACATTCTTAAGAGCCATGGAAGTTTTACACTATTTAAAGCAGAGAGAGAGAGAGAGAGAGAGAGAGAGAGAGAGAGAGAGAGAGAATGTGCAGAGTCCTGCGTGTATCTCTCATCCCTGAAACGCACTCCGTGTGGCCGTCATCAGCGTGCAAGGGGAAACCCGCACAAACCGCAGTAACGGTGCGGCATTTGCAACAACACCAAGATCTTTAAGTAAGCTCTTTTAGAATCGCCGGATGGCAGCAGGGGAAATGGACCGGAACTGCTGCATTGCTGTGGCGGTCGTAGAAGCAGGTTAGCCGTGCAGAGAAGTCCCAGTTCCAGCTGCGAAGGCGTGTCAATGGCGAGGGTCGTCGTCTCTGAAGGAGAATAAATCTGAGAATCCTGTGGCAAACCACCGCTTAGAGAGAGAGAGAGAGAGAGAGAGAGAGAGAGAGATCATGTTCAGACTGCTGCTTGCATCTTGCATCCTTCAGTACCCTCCTCAGCAATGACAATAGATCTCAAACATCCATTAAATATTTCAGAAATGTTTATGACATAAGATTATTAGGATACGATATTTAAGAACGTTTCAATCTCTTTCATGCTGTAAAAAAATGTATATTTCGAATTTAAATTGCAAGCGTAGAAGAATCTAGCTATCCCAGAGAAAATGCACGAAAGATATGTGTTTAATAATATATATTTATAAATACTCAAACGGCAGAAACATGGTAGTATAACAGGAGTAATGTGATTTAATGACTAAACGCATGTGTGAAACTCTCTAAATCTCTTAAAGTAGTTCTGATTTACCTTATATGATGCAGATTGTACTCCACCAGTGGAGAATCCGGTTTATTCTACAAATGTTCTCAAAAAAAACAAAAAACCTTAAATCCACATTTCGAGTGATGGACCGCGGTGGAGTGATGCTGAGGTCAAATCCAGTGTAGCGGGACAACCAGAGCTCGCTGTCCTCCACGCGACTGAGGTGCTGGAGCCAGTCCTGTGCTCGCGAGCTCCGCGGCTCCGCCCACCACTTACATTAAACACGCCATTTAAAGACGTACCAAAACAAATATAGCCTTTTCTGTCAGGAGTCCCCCTCAGATATCTTCTTTACATGAGTGAATATCCATATCAATCCTACATTTAACATCATATCTCTTCAGCAGATCTAAATGAGGAGTCTTGGATGTGAGCTGCTGTGTACAGGACCTCTGTATATCAAAAGCCTTTGGAGTTTTCTGGAACACTGGAAGTATTTGGGGAAGTCTCCATGGTCCTGAACAGACATAACTGCCCTGATACTAAACTCAAAAAGTAACGAGAGTTCCATAAAATCCATTCAAAAACACATTTAAACGGGTTTCTAATCATTCTAATTGATACATTCCCTTAGGAAAAAGAAGTGTGCTATTAGTATACTTCTTTTAAACTAGGAAAGTATACTTTTAGTCTACATTTTATGTACCTCTCAGAAATGGGCTTTGTGTGTGACATTTAAGTATACTTGACTTATACTTCGAAAAAGTCTAAATATATTTGAGCTATACTTGTGTTCCTAGAATGTGCGCTAGTACACATCTTCTGTACAGAATTTCCAAAAAACACAAGTGAAGAAGAAACCGAAACAACAGATGCTTCCACATGTATTCTAACACGATCATCAGACATAAAACAGCATCAAAACTGTGTAACGTAATGGAACGAAATGTCGACCAATGAAGAGGTAATAATGACCGTCAAGCTTTGGGGTGTTGATCGACTTTATCTAAGTTTTGATTATCATTCTGAATCCAATTCAAAGTCTTTTTTCAGCTTTTTGTTCAAAATGTTGTTTATTTCTTTATTTTTTATTTACGAAACTTATCCACATTCAAGTGTTTAAAAAAGAATGCATGAAGCTAGAATAAAATGTTTTTGTTT